CTGTAAAAAATCAATAAAATATATTTAAAAAAAAGAAAAGAAATGTTGATACTCTTTGTCCCTGTGATTTACTTTATGGGATCCTAAATAAACACCTCTGAATATATAAAAAGCTTAATGCACCAAGCTGTTCATTGCAATGCTAATGATAATAGTGAAAAACTTGGAATAATCATAATGCTCAATGATATAGAACTGATGAAATAAGCTTTGGTATATGCGTTTGACAAAATAGAAAATAAACACAATAAATTTATTTGTTATATATATTACTATGGAAAATGCTCAAGGAATAGTGTTAATTGAAAAAGGCAGATTTAAACTGTGGTATTATCACATAATGGAAATATATCATATTTCTTGGGAAAATCAAATCTATGTATGGAAAAATGTTAGAAAATATACCCAAATGTTGATGGTAGGACTCTGGGTGGTTCCTCCCACCCCCTTTTCTCCTTTGTTCTTCCCTCTTTCTTTTTCTCTTCTTCAAAATTATACAACTTCTTTGTGCAAAATTGTACAATTAACTTCATATAAATGAGAAACATGCCTATCAAATGAGAAAGGGAATTTGGGTCAAAAGCTTCATCTACCGTGGGGCTACTATCTTTTGAGTCCTGAAGGTCAGCAGCAGTGGGAAGTGTTGCCAGAAAAAGGGAAAAGAAAGGGAAAAGAAAACAAGAATGGAAAAGGAAGAGGAGAAGAAAAAGAAGGGGTACATAGGATAGTAGTGGGGACAAGTGATGCTCTTGCTTCCCAACTCTGGTGATGAATTCCTGATATATCTTTTAATACAACCAGAAGGATACTTATATAGAAAGATCATACTGTCCCAGCAAATGCTCAGTACACTATTAATTGCATTTCCCTTTTGGTAGGTGAAGCTGCACTGTCAAGAGCATGATTGGTCATGACCAATGTGACCATCCTCACAAGAAGGTGACAGTCTCCCATTTCTGGCTAACTCCTCCAATAGAAGCAGAATTGATCATTTTTAAATGTCCTGCATATTTTGCAATATATAAATACAAAGACCATATGTAATGGGTTTTAGTTTTGAGAGAGCATGGGGAATTAAGGGATCATTTTAATCCAAACTCTACAAGTCACTGATGAGGAAGTTTGAGAGTTGGAGAGGAAACATGACTGCACAGGTGACATAGAAGTTAGCAGCAATCTGGGTTGATTCTCCATGTACAGTCTTGGCAGACTGATGGTGCTCTGTTCTGTTCTTGGAGACCTCCTAGCTGGCTTCTTAAAGCTACTCAAAGAGTGTCTCTTCTTGGGAACTCCAAATTTGTACCTAACATCTGGGAGTAGTCAGAGTGGAAGAGCAATGCAGAAAAGGTTAAAGATTTCTCTCTTTTACACCATACCAGGGGAGTACATGTTTTTCACTTAAATAATCACGATGATGGCGATGATGATGATGATGATGATGATGATGATTATGATGGCTAATCCTTAGGCAAAACTTAGTAAGTGCCCGGCTTATTTCAAATATTTTATACATTAACTTACTTCATCTTCTTAACATACCTATGAGATACGAATAATTATTATCTTTGCATCTGAGGAAACCGAGGCACTGAGAAGTAGACAATTTGATGCCACAGTCACTCTACTAAAAAGTGACAAAATAAGGATTTGAACTTCAAGTTGATTAAGAGTCCATGCTCCTAATCACTATTCTATTTAAAAATAAAAGAGGAGTCCTAACTGGGTTGGCTCAGTGAATAGAGCGTCAGCCGATAGACTGAGAGGTCCTGGGTTCAATTCTAGGCAAGGGCACATGCGGGCTAGATCCCAGTAGGGGGCATGAAGGAGGCAGCTGATCAATTATTCTCTCTCCTCACTGATGTCTCTCTCTCTCTCTCTCTCTCTCTCTCTCTCTCTCTCTCTCTCTCTCTCTCTCCCCCTCTCTCTTCCTCTCTGAAATCAATAAAAATATATTTTAAAAAGAGAAAAAAAGGAGGATGAAAAAGAGAGGAGCAAAGAGGGAGAGTGATGATAAGGAGAAAGAAAAGTGGAAGGAAAGATAATAGGGAGTGAGAAGGAAGGAGGGAAAGGGAGATTGAAACTTATTAGAGATATGTTCCCTAGAAAATACATGTCTGTTTACACAAATGAGCTTATCTAAAGAAAACTTATTTAATTGCTTTTTGGCAAACACATTTTTTGAGAAAAACATTCCCAAGACCTTCTACTTACAATGGCTCCTTTATGCCCCAAATTCTTAGTAATGTGTTACAACATCAAGAGTTAGGAACACTAATCCTTAAGTCTGGGACCTAAGGCTACTGGAAATCTTGCCAAGATCTTAGAATTGGTGGGTTTCCAATCTCTTTCTGTTCTTTGTGGTCAAGTCCAGGCAGATGGAAGAGTGGGAGTGGATATAAAGGCTGGTAAGAAGAAGTGATGTTTTGTAATTATTGAGCCTCTGCAAATTTTTAAAAAAAATATATTTTTATTGATTTTAGTTAGAGAAAGGGAGAGGGCTAGAGAGATAGAAACATGGATGAGAGAGAAACATCTCAGCTGCCTCCTGCTACCCCCTTCCCACCCCACCCTGGGGATCAAGCCTGCAACCCAGGCAGTAATTGAACCATGACCTCGTGGTTCATAGGTCCACACTCAATCATTGAGCCACATAGGCCAGGCGTCTTTGCAAATTTTTATGTTTTATAACCAAAAGAATTTATTTTAGTATGTTTTGATGAACTAATAAATATTCCTATTTATATTATAGTAGTAGTTACCTGGAGATAGGAGGGGGAGGAGAAGATGGGAGATTTCAAAGGGCATGACAAACTTTTGGGAGTAATTAAATGTTCATTATCTTGACTGTGGTGATAGTTTTGTGTGTGTATAGGCTGAAACTCTTGAAATTGTACAGTTTATTAAATATATGCAGTTTATGCTACATCAATTATATCTCAATAAAGCTGTTATAAAATTAGCCAGCATAAAGCAAAAGGTAGAGGAAGATGTTTTGGGGCCTTTTCTGATGATCCTGAAATTACATCAAGGGGACTATTACCTGCACTGCCTACATCCAAACTTGGCTTATTTTGGTGCAGAAAAATAGCTAATTTCAATTCAGATTTCCTGTTTGAGAGGCTTCTGAACAGACAATGTATTTATTTTGAATGGACCAACTGTTTTTGAGTTACTTTCCTGTAGCCAATCCCCAAGAAAGAACTGGCAGTAACCATGGAGCCAGGTTCCTTGTTCCAAATACCAGGGAGTCAGGTGTGAGGCAGCTTCAAAAGCTTTTATTTTTAATCTGATTTCTTTCCAAAATGAAATATATACCCTGTGTTGATGCTTTGGAACACTGAGAATGAACACAGATGGTAAATCAAATTTAGGGAGGAGGGATGTTCTATATAACTCCTAAATGCCAACTTCAAAACACTAGATGGTTCTCCTAATGTATTTTAGATTGGAGTTAAAAATAGGGCTCCTCATCACAATTATTGAGAAAGATGACAATCATTTTCCAGGCAACGGGTGCATCCATATGGGTTCCGGCTGATGATGAAAAGAAAAATGCAGTGCAGGCTGAATGAAACACTTTTAGAGATTAGAACCTTGGCTGTCTCTTTCTCCATAAAGGCTTGTACACACCATGTAGAGCCCAATGACTTGGTTGCTTTGAAGGATTCAGAAATTGATGCTAAAAAATGGGCATGTATTATTTAATAAAAGAATAATTGTTTTTAAATTTTTAAAAAAATATTTTTATTGATTTCAGAGAGGAAGGGAGAGGGAGAGAGATAGAATATCAATGATGAGAGGAATTGTTGCAGAAAACTGGAGAAAAACCAAGCAATGTTTAGGGAGATGGAGTTACACATTATTATTATTATTATTATTATTATTATTATTATATTTGTGCAATAGGCCTTCCTTCCCCTGGCTGCTGGCACTGTTTTTTCTCCGACCTTTTCCCAGAGGCCTTTGCTCTGGCTGCCACCTTTCATCTTCGCTATGGCGAGTCTTTACTCTGGCTGGAGTCTTCACTGCAGTCAGAACCTTTGGTCTTCGCTGCATTTGGAGCCTTCAGTCTTCACTCCAGAGAGAATGCTGCTCCTGTAGCTCCCGCTTCCCCCCACCTTTCCCCTCATAGTAGGTGTCTAGTCCCACCCAGCTGCTCCATGCCTGCATGCATGCTGCCCAGAGGCTGGAGCATCTGGGGGGTGGGGCCACCGCAATCTTTGTTGGGTTAATTTGCATACCCACTCCTGATTGGCTGGCGGGCACTACAAAGTGGTGGTAAATTTGCATATTTTATTAGTGTAGATTATGTCCTGGCCTAGAGAAAACTGTATTTTAAATTCTGGGCCTCAACATGGAGGAAGTGTCCCTATTTATATCTTTTTACCTTCTTCGTCTGCCAAATATGGGGTTTTCTGGTCTCCTTTGCAAGCTCTTAAAAAGCCCTATGTCCTGGGGCTTTGAGATCTCAACCAAAGGCCAGGCCTGGTGCCAGCACTGATAACTTTGCGTGGGGAAGGTTTATGGCCTCTAGGAATGGGATTAGTCTTATTTTCCTCATTATTTAAGTAAGCAAGCATTTATAAAAGCCAAAATAGCAGGGTTAAAATTTCAAACAGCAGTTTTTATATAAGATGGAAACTTATTATATAAAGAATCATTGATCGATTGGCTGCCTCCTACATACCCCCTCCTGGGGAGCACATTTGAAAGCCTGTGCTATCCATTCTATCACTTGACCAAATACAGGACTTACATGAACATTTACATGATAGAGAATATTAGAAGCGAAACAATCGTGTCTATGCCAGGATCACATATTTATTTCTTTAGAGGCTTTATTCTAAGAGACAGTATGGTCTGATTGCAAAGAGATTCCCCTTCCTCCTGTTCCCCCCAAGGTAGTCTGTGAGTTCACTGAGAAGATCACTTCTCTATCTCCATTTCCCTGCCTTTAAAATGGTTATGTGAGTAATAACAACCTCTCTTTTGTTTTCAAGGATACCAGGAAAGAATTCAAGTTCACAAACTCAATCATTAAGCAAAGCCCGAGAGAAATAATGAACCTAATTTGAAAATGGATGTGAGTAAACACTTTTTAAAAAATCTTAGACAAGCCAACATTTTCCTTGATGTCAATTTTTATAATATGCTTTGGCTTAATGACTACTAATGGAGTTGTCTCCATTTTTGGATTGGAAAAAATAAATTGCTGGTGAAGTGACTCACAGGAGGTTCTTCTAAAGTAAACAAGGCCTTGTCTTCCAGTTAAGTGTGATCTTCTGGGATGATCTTCCTGGAAAATGGTCTCAGCTCAAGCCTCTTCTTTAAGCTCCACAGGGATGGACAGATCTTGTGCAAGCTTATGGTCATTGAAGCCACACTAAACCTACAGGTTGCAATGCTATGAGAAGTAGGTCATTCAGATTGTGGACCTTCAGTGCTTTGGCTCTTGACACTGCTCCCAGGAACGAGAAGAATTGATTTGGGATTTCAGCCCTGGTGTGTTAGGTTCTGACTGACCACCGAATGTCACTCTGGGATGACATGTGCCCTGACTGGCAATCAAACCTTGAACTTGAAAGGTGGGACGATCAACCACTGAGCCATGTTGGCCAGGCTGGCATGAGAGAAACCTAGTTTTCAAGGTTCTGATTATGCAGTAGATGGTTGAGTCAGTCTTTTGGGTCTCTGTCTGTTCCCTTCCGTTGCCTGATTTTAGTCATCAGGGAAAGGAAAGGAAGAAGAAGCACAGAAATGTCTGTCTGAGTTGACAGCTCCAGCAGTTTTGGCACAAGAGGGAGGTGGTGGAACCTATTTCAAATATCTGTGTTTTTTTTTCTAAATATATTTTAGACTCATAGAAGAAGAGAGGTAATCAGTATATTCCTCTAAGATAATGAATCCCATACTTTTCTGTGACTCAGGAAATTTATTGACAGATAGACAATAAAAAACAAGCAATACTATAATAAGTAAATTATTTGGTAAGTTTTAAAAATGGTAAGTCTATGAATAAAGCATAAAGTAGGAGAAAGGAAGGGGGTGCGACAATTCAGACTAACAATATTTCAAGGGCTCAATAGTCACATGTGGATGCTGCAGATCTGATAAATCATTACTCATGTTGATTCTCAATTATTTTAAACTCGAATGAAAGCTAGCTTGTCAAGATGGCTTTATGGCAAGGGGTATTGACAACACAGAACAGATTAGCCTTACACTTTCTTTTTAAGGAAGCTAGATACCAGCGAGGACAGAAAATAAAGGCTGGAGGTAGAACTCTATTAAATAGCTCAAGAGAAAGACATCCTTTTTGCTTTCATTGTTTCTACAGAGAAGTCTACTGTTTTTTTTCCTGTTTTTTTTTTTTCTTTTCCCCCCAAATGTATTTATCTTGGGATTCCTTAGAGTTCTGAAATATGTGACTGGTGTTTTAGCCAGTTATGAAAATTTCTCAGCCTTTGTCTCTTACGTTTCCCTTAAATACATGGTAAATTTCTTCATTCTACTTTGCAGAGTACCTAATTTCTCAGGCTACCTAATATGCCACCATTTTCATATAACAAAATACCAATTATACTTCTGAGCTCTTAAATCCATATGATTGACTTAATTTAATTAAGCCAATACCATCTTATTTAATCACTATAGTTTCATACTATGCTTACATATCTTCTAGGACAAACCTGTTCTTATTTTTCTTCTTTAAGTATGTAGGTGTATAATAAGTAGTTACTATCTTAGTACACTTTACTCTAGCTATGACATTGATGTTCATTCTAGACATGGCTGTCTGTGATAGTTACAATTTATTTTGCTAGGTGCTGGGGATATAGAAGTTTAACATAAGATATCAGCTCAGGTGAACTTCACATTCCTGAGTAAAGAAGATACTTTGTCAGGAAAAGGAAAGAACTACATGACTTAAATAACAAAGCCAAATAATAGAGAAGTTGTCTCATAAGGCAATGTCACTTACAGTTCCAGTATCTCAAAGTAGGGCAAAGGAAGGTAGGTTTGGAGCAGAAGGGCAATAAATTAGCAACTGGCACACCTTCAATTTTATAAAACTAGAGGCCTGGTGCATGAAATTTGTGCATGGGTAGGGTCCCTGGGCCTGGCCATGGATCAGGGATTGGGGCCTTCCGGCTGCTGGCCAAGGCCTTTCTTCATTCTGGGCCATCCTTTGGTGATCAGTGCATATTATAGTGAGCAATCAAACTCCTGGTCTTCCGGTTGAACTCCTGAGGCACAAGAGGGGGTAAATATATGGACTAGGGAAGCAGTGCTCAAAATTCTTGCACAGGAGGGGGGTGTCCCTCAACCCAGCCTGCACCCTCTCCAATCTGGGACCCTTTGAGGGATGTCCCCCTGACTGTTTAGGCCCAATCCCACTGGCCTAAACAGGAGGAGGGACATCTCTCTCATTACCTAGGACTGCTGACTTCCAACTGCCCACCCCTGCAGGCCTTGTCTTCCCCCCTCTCACTGTCCTCCCCTGTAGGCCTAGTCCCCCCCAACTATCCTCTCCTGCTGGCCTGGCCCACCTCAACTGCCTTCCCCTGCAGGCCTGGGTCCCCCCCCCCAAAAAAAAAAAAAAATGTCCTCCCCTGCAGGCCTGGTCCCCCCCAACTACGCTCCCTTGCTGGTTTGGTCTTCCCCAAATGCCCTCCTCTGCTGGCCCGGACACCCCTAACTGCCCAACCTATTGGCCTGATCACCCACAATTGCCCTCCCCTGCAAGCCTAGTCCTCCCCAACTGCTTTCTCCTGCTGGCTTGGTCACCCCTAACTGCCTTCCCCTGCAGGCCTGGGGCTCCCCAACTGTCCTCCCCTGCTGGCCTGGTCTTCCCCAAATGTCCTCCTCTGCTGACCCGGTCACCCCTAACTGCCCAACCTACTGGCCTGATCACCCACAATTGCCCTCCCCTACAGGCCTGGTCCCCCAACCCCAACTGCTCTTCCCTGCAGGCCTAGTCCCCCCCAACTGCTTTCTCTTGTTGGCCCGGTCACCCCTAACTGTCCTCCCTTGCAGGCATGGTTCCCCCCAACTGCCCTCCCCTGCTGGCCTGGTCCTCCTCAACTGCCCTCCCCTGCAGGCCTGGGTCACCCCCAACTATCTTCCTCTGCTGGCCTGGTCCTCCCCAACTGCTCTTCCTTACTGGTCTGGTCTCCCCCAACTCCCCTCCTCTGCTGGCCTGGTTACCCCTAACTTTCCAAGACTGCCCTTCCTTGTGGCGACCATCTTGTGTCCACATGGGGCAGCTGTCTTGGTGTGATGGTCAATTTACATATTACTCTTTTATTAGATAGGATTTTACTAGGAAAATAGCACACCATAGAGAATACATGATATTTCTTAGCTCATATGTCCTGCATTTCACTAACAAGAAGTGACATTATTACACCAAGCTAAAATCTATAGTTTAAATACTTTCAGGGACAGAGAATAGATAATAAACATATGCTAACTGTACTACAGAAGAATTGGAACCTCAAGAAGGCAGGATGGCTAGAAGCAGAGCACTTCGTGACTGACTGGAAAAGCTGGAAAGAGATCATTATATGTAAAGCATCTTTCATTAATTTCTACATTACGTATGTTGTTTGTGTGGCAGGAGGAGAAAAGAACATGATTTGATTTAATATGTTTTTAAAGAAGAAGAAAGCTGAAATGCTGGTTTTTGTTCTATGTGTTAGGGACTATTGAGAATCCCAGTTCAGACTAACAATATTTCAAGTGCTCAATTAGCCATGTGAAAGAGCTCCTCTCACCCTTGACATCTTTCAACTCTTTCAAGACCTCTGTCTCTCCAAGTCTCCTCTTCTCTACGTCAAATATTCCAATCTTTGTGAATACTAATGGCACATGCAGAAGACATGGGCCCTGACTCTGTGGCCTTAGTCAAAACTGTTCACTTTGAAACACAGGTTCCCATAGTTGCAAAATGAAACATTTGAACCAGTGATTTCTAAGATTCTCTTGTCTCTGTAAAAGGTTTAAACAAAAAATTCCTGTTTTGTAGTCTATTCTCCTTCATGAATGGACTTTATTCTGCATATATCTGTGTCACAGTGTGATTTCTGGAACTGAACTCATTAATATGGGGTCAGAGTGAGGCATGCCTAAAACTCCTCAAGTAAGATCAATTGCCATGACGTTATTAGAAAACATAGCCCACTTTCTGAGCATGTTGGATTCAGGTCTGTTTAGCTCATTTTTGCTACAGTATGTACAGTAAAGAAGAACAAATGGTACAACGCAGAATTGGAGATGGAGATGTCAGTCTCCATCATGAGTGTAAATTTAGAAGGCGAGCCTAGATAATTTTCATTCTTTAATTTGGAAAGGCATCCAACTCAGCTACATGGCCATCTTTGTATCCTGAAGATGCTGGTTGAAGTGAGTGGATTATGTATGTTCATTTTATTTTTTCAAAGACTAATTCAATCTAAGAAAGTTAGATGTTTTGGCTTGAGCCTCATAACTTTTGTAACTTGATGGAAGTCACAATAAACTGGATAATATCTGCTAATTTTTCAGATTTGAAACTTCTGTTTTACTCCATATGTCTAAAGGGAGTAAGGATTTGATTCCCACTAACAAGCTTCACAAGAAATTTATGAATAATGCAGAGTGCCGATCTGTAAATCACAGGAAGGGAAGTATCAGACAGGCAAGTCTCAATGCCTACCATATGCACAGCCTCTTTTGGAGGGACTTGCTCTGCTCACATTTATTAAGAAGAGTGGAGGCCAATGGGCATGGCAAGATTGCATCCCTAGCATGGGAATTTGACCCAAGGACTCTGTTTTATGGGCAGTCTTCCCCTCCCCCAACCTCAGCTTGGCTAATCAGTTTCTCTATTTTGAAAATTTTGATTTAAAGCATAGAGAAAATTTGCTAAAACTCTAAGGTTATTATGAAAAAAAAAAAAAAAAAGGGGGGAGAAACTTATGATAGGCTGTATTTAAGCCGAAGTTAAGAGGAAGTAGTAGAATTGCAAGTCAATAGGAGTTGAGTAATAAGAGAAAAGCTATACAGAGTAAATAGAAAGAACCAGAGTAAATAGAAAGAACCAATGGCCAGAGGGCAAAAAACAACAACAGATATATAGAGATCTGTTTGGAATCAAGTAGAGGCCCCAAGAATCAAAGCATACCCAAAAACCGAGTGCCTGATGATAGAGTTGTATGTTACATCTGCTGTAAACACTCTACCAGTGTGCACTTGGCAGAACTCCAATGTCAAATCTTGGTAAATTGCTGATACTTATGGTAACCAGATAAACATGATGTCTGTTTCTCTCTCTCTCTCTCTCTCTCTCTCTCTCTCTCTCTCTCTCTCTCTCTCTCTCTCTCTCTCTCTCTCTCTCTCTCTCTCTCTCTCTCTCTCTCTCTCTCTTTCTCCTTTAGTTCTAGCTGTATACTTAATATGTTCTGACTTAAAATATTCATAATAATAATAAATATTATTATTACTTTCTTTAAGTAGCTTATTCATTCTCAGCAACTATTCCAGTTCCTTAACCAAATGATGCCTTTTCCTATTCCAACAGACAGCCTTACCTCCATTGTTGAGAAAGAGAAGGCCAGCAGTACTCTATTCCTGAATCCTGTCAGGTCTGGGACTATATTTTCCTCCTTCTGTTCAGTCCCGAAGATGCTGCTTCTCTTTCTGTTGAAAGCCAGTGCCATCTATCTGTGCTTTGGTTCTATGCTTTCTATGTCCTCTGTCTTGCTCTGAATGCTATCACCTTTTTTTATATGTTGAACTTTGATCTCTCTATTGCATTTTCTCCTCCATCTGTAAGCATTTTAAAATATTTTATTGACTTTTTAAAGAGAGTAAGAGAGAGGAATAGAGAGTTATAAACATCGATGAGAGAGAATCATCGATCAGCTGCCTTTTGCACACCACCTACTGGGGATGTGCCCACAACCAAGGTACATGCCCTTGACCAGAATCGAACCTGGAACCTTTCAGTTCGCAGGCTGACTCTCTATCCACTGAGCCAAACCAGTTTCGGCCATCTGTAAGCATTTTAACAGGAAACCCTAAAGTCACCTGCTCTATCAGCTGGTTTATAAATATAATGTTTTAAATTTTGGGGGGAAGATACCCAGGAGGGGCATTGCTGGGTCATCTGGTAACTCTATTATTAATTATTTAAGTTACTGCTATTCTGTTTTTCAGTGAGGCTGTACCAGTACACATTCCCACCAGCAGTGAATGAGGTTTCCTTTTCTCCACAACCTCTCCAACACTCATTATTTGTCTTGTTATTACTTTGTATCTCATTGTAGTTTTGATTTGCATTTCCCTAATAGCTAGTGAAGTTGAACATCTTTTCATATGTCTCATGG